ATGCCCCTCAACTTACATGGGGGTTACATCCCAATAAACCCATTGTGGGTTGAAAGTGCATTTAATACATTCAAGGTCCAAATGTCACAGCTTAGCCTAGCCTGTCTTAAATGCACTCAGAACTCTCACAGTAGCCTACAGTTGGGCAGAGCCATCTGGCAGCACAATATACTGAGGCGTGTGGGTTGCTTACCTCAGTGACCCTCTGACTGACTGACAGGTGCAGCCCAGTGTCTAGAGAGAGTATCTTACTGCTTCCTACCGCTTTCTACTGAATGCCTGTCATCTTTGCATCACTGGAAAGTTCAAAAATCTTAAGTGGAGCCATCATAAGTCAGGGATGTTCTGCATATTGGTAGAAGATTTAAATGGAATCCCCTATAATCTCCAGGGAGAAGCCCTGATAATGTTTCATCACATTGGATTTCCTTCCCAGCCAAGGAAAAGTGGGACTGGGGAAAATGCCAGTTATGTGAATCCTCTTAAAATCGGGTCCAAATTTTCATAGGAAAAATGTTTTTTAAAGTTTTGATTGGGACTTTGCTTGAAAAATGAAACTGAAAATTATGCAAATAAGTTTATTTTATCCTGCATTTAGAGGCACTTGTAGCATTGTACTTATAATTATCTGCGATCTCTTAGACCCAAGGCAAAAGCATATTTGCTTTATTGGCATCTTTAAAATAACAGTATTCTAATTTCTGAAACAAAAGTAAGAGTGAGGTACTGAATAAGCAGCTTTTGGATGTGAATTTTCCTATTATTTCATAAGATTAACATCTTTTGCTACATATTTTACCTTATTTTTTTTTTTTAGTATGATCACAAAAGAATCATTTATATATGAATACGGATATAGAGTGCCTGGTTACCAAGGAGATACATGACTCCAAAATGACCCTGGTTTGTGAGGTTCTGCCCTGGGCATGATCTGACACCAGGAAAACAAAGGGAATCCTGTGTTGCCTTGAGGTCAAGTGATCCCCTGACAGTGGGGAGCCTTGCAGATTTTATAAACTTCAGTTAGGACAGTTTTCTCTTCCTTAGTGCGGATTTAAACAGGAGTTCTAAACAGGTGAACATTCCCCTCGTTCCCTTTCCGTTGCCCCACCTGGGAGCAAATGCCCAGTGCTTTCCAGTGGCTGTCAGTGCCAGGAGCGTCATGGTGAAGAGTGTCATCTGAGGTCAGGTCACCAGAAGCAGCACATGAGATGGGTTTCCTGCATGGGTGATTTATCAGGGAAGTGTTCTTGGGGGAAGAGGGATGAAGCCAGCAGAATGAGGCAGAGGAAGGAACCACACAGGGACGGGGTCTCAGCTAGTGTCTGTTTCACCCAGTCCTGTGGGGAGCTCTGGAGCATGAAGTGCACAACAGAGTTGGTCCCACCTTGAGGCACAGGAGATCTCCTTTGGTACCCACATCAATCAGCAGCTGTGCAGTGCTTGCTGGGAAGGGTGTTGCAACCTCCCAGGCAGAGCGACTTCATTCATCGGGGGCTGTGGTACCCGTCTAGTAAGGGGGTTCTGGGTGGAGCATCAACAGCAGCCATATAGGGAGTCACTGTGCTTGCCAGAGCCCATGCTCAGGTGGGCCTCTGTGCCTCCTTGAAGATCTTTGTAGTAGGAGGAGGAGTATATAATTTAAGACTCTTGGTCAGGGCCATGTCCTGAGTATAGTATCCAGTAGTTGGTGTAAATGGCTGTGTTGTGCTCACAAGTGGCAGACAGGTGACCCAGCTCCATCCCAGGAGCCCCTGAGTTATGAACCATGAGCTCAGCTCTCATTCCTAGAGATGAGGTCTTTGGCTCTCCCTTTTTTTGCTTGTCTTCACCAAGATTCAACCAGAATTTTAAATTTTGTATTTGACTGAGTAGAAGGGAATAATGAAATAAATGCTGGTTTAAATGTTATTTTCTAGCATTTTGGAACTAACAAAAATGAGGTAATTCAGAAGCTCTTGAGTGATCAAAAGTTCAGTCATCTTAGGACAAAGGTAAGTAAACTGGGGATCCCTCAAATTCCAGAAAAAAAATCTTTGAAGCTATAATCATTCCTTCACATACATGAAAACTGAAGAAGTTTTTGAGATAATAAGTCCAGAACTGATAAACCTTTGACTTAAATTTTAAAACTTTCTTCTTGTTTGAAAGGGATTCCCAGTGAGATATTAAACATTAACAAGAGGAGTTGGGAACTGGACTAAGTAATAATGTGTGTGTGTGTGTCTATCTATCTATATAGATCTACATAAATCAGATAGATATACACACATGTATACACATATACATATATATACACACACACAAATGCATACACACGTCTGTATACATACATATGTGCTAGAATACTGTTGAGAGTAATTATACCAGGATGACGGAATTAGGACTGGTCCAGGGAAACCAAGAGTGCTGAGGTCACCCTAGACTTTGGCTCACTGCTTCTGATGTCCATATGCTGATTATCTAGGATTTAGAGTAGCTTCCTCCTGGGCCAATAGTGAGTGTTGTTTTCAGGCAGGAGGAATATGGGGAAGATGGTGGTGAGAGGCCACCCATGGTGAATCCTTATTGCCAATCTTTGGGACAGGCAGGTCTTGAGACAGCATTTGAGAAGTTATTCTCTGGTTATCTTTACTGAAATTGCCAATGCCTGTTCTCCAGGTTCCAAGAGCAGCCTTCACACTTCCATCACACTGCTTCTATGCCTGGAGGGCTCCCTTTCTGAGTTAGGAGCTCTACGAGGACAGGGGCTAGTGTTTTTCAGACCTGAGTCCTCAATGCTGGATGTGGTATGTGATATGACGACTCAGCTACCCAGTGGAGGCTTAGGGTCCATTCTGAACCTGTACCATTTCCATAGTACATGTGTGAGCTTAACCACCCATGAATGTTTTGGGGGCAAGATGGAAGAAGAAAACCTTGGAAGGAGGGCTAAGGAAAGGTGTTCCTGCCATTGAGAACAACTGAGACAGTGGTGTGGAATGAAAGCAGGCAGAGAATGTTTGTAGAATAGTAACATTTGTGTGCTGTGGGGCAGGCGTGGAGGACAGTAACAGGAGAGTATGGGCCAAAATGGATTAGGATTTGGCACTTTATTCTGTTTGCAGTGGGGAGAGGCCTGTTTTAAGAAGCTTCCTCCAGCAGCATGCAGAATGGACTGAAGAAAAGGAAACTTACAACTGTGTCCCCCAAACATTTTTACACAGAATTGCTTATTTTATCACTTACTATTTATTGAAAATGCTTGTCCCAGGCCCTGCAGGCAACTGGGGTGTGGCCCAGGAATCTGTGTTTTTAAAGAGGCTATTGTAAGACACATGGCTTCCAACCATGTGATACTAATGTAAGTGGTCTGGGGTCTCCATGGGAGAAATGCTGGCTAGGGGCATGGAGAGACATTAGGAAACTTACAGTCATTGAGATCAGTTACTGCCAAGATTGGATGCTGAAGAGATATATGAGAGTTTAGTTTTACATTTGTACATGTCTCCTATCTTTTGTTTCATTATATTTTGGGGTTTTTACTATTGTTTCATTGCTATTTTCTAAGTAAAGTTGTACTGATGTTTATTAGACAAAAGTATGCAACTCATTGCGTGCCCAGCTCAACAAACTTTCACAAAATGATTACATCTGTGTAACCAGTCCCCAAATCAAGAAAGAACATTCTAGTACCCCAGGATCTACCTTCTCCTTATTCCACAATTACTGTCTTGACTTCTACCTCTATAGATTAGTTATTTATCTTTGTCTTTTCTTTGTGTTTGTGTGTGTGTGTGCATGTGCGCTAATGTTCATAATATTTTAGAATAGCAGTATACATATACAATTTAAATAGATATATTGTGGTAAATGCTCATGTGTTTTACTGGTTTGATGGTTTGATGCACAATTGAAAACTTTCATCTCACTTGCCTGAAGGACTGAAAGTGTTGATCTGAGCTGAGATGTGGGTCTTGGAAATTGGAGGACCTCTGTAGCTGCTTCTTCTCTAATATCTGCAGACATACCATCTCCCCTTGCAAATCTTGATTTGCTTCAGTGACTCTCAGAGGCCCTGTGGGTTAGGAAGAGCCCCTTGGCTCTCCTTGGACCTCACTTGGAAGTCATGTGCCTGGATGGAGAGACAGCAGCTCCTTGTGGCCTCTCCTGGTTCTCTTATGCCACTGTATGTGGAATCCAGTCTAGGTCGGCTATACCTGGAAACCCCTCCTCACCCTTGCACCCATCCCTGCCTTGGGACGACTTGCAGGTGAGCAGCCCAACCCTGGCTGCTGCGGGCTTTTCTTAATATGACTTTCTTGGAGTTTGTTTTTCTTAAACCACCAAGATCTTGAAAGATAGGACTGGAGAAAGGGGCCAAAAAGATAACTTGGTTGCCTTTTTTTTTTAAAGTCAGGATCTCTCTCATTTTGTCATCTGGGCTGGAATGCAGTGGTACAGTCACAGCTCACCACAACCTCCAACTTCTGGGTTCAGGCAATCCTTCCACCTCAAGCCTCAAGTAACTGAGACTATAGGCATGGTTCACCACACCTGGCTACTTTTTTGTTTTTTATAAAGATGGGATCTTACTATATTGCCAAGTCTGGTCTTGAACTTCTGGACTCAAGTGATCCTCTTGCCTCTGCTTCCAAAAATCCTAGGATTACAGGTGTGAACCACCATGCAGTGCTTGGTTGCCTTTTAATGCAAACCCTAGGAGGCCTCCAGCTCACCCAGTCCTAACCTGGTTCACCAGGACAGCCCCAGGGTTTAGACTTGAAACATGAGTTAAACATGAAGAGTAGTTTGTCTTCTGTACCTATCCTCCCAGGGAACTCATAGGAAAGGTGGGCAGCCGGAGGAAGACTGGAGGCTTGGTCTGGTCTAAGGGCTCCTCATCCCATCAGTCTGCTGTCTGAGAACTGCTCTAGAGGACTCGATGGCCTCACTGAGGCCACCCTCACACACCCGCCTTTCCTGTAACCAGCCCATCTATGGTGCTTTTTCTCTTTCAGGAGGAGATGGGTATTTCCTGTGAGCTGCTAGAATTGGACTTCCTCAAATGCAGCGTGGGATTTCCATTTATGAGGTCAAAGTCGAAGGTAAGAGTCAGGTGATGGGGCCCTTCCTTGGCAGCAGGCCCCAGCCCTTCCCACCAGCCACTCCACAACTGCCTTCCTCCTGGTGTTTTCCCACACCCTTGCCTCTCACAGCAGCTGGGGTGGCCACTGAAACCCTACCATGCTCTTGTCTCTGGCGATATACACCAAGGTATACTCCAAAGGGGTTGCATGGTCTTTCTCTTTGATCCACATATCATACCCCAAATGTAAAAGTCATGCCATGGCCTTTGCTCTTTGGCAAACAGCATTTGGTTGGCCCTCCTAAAATGTTTTTCTGAGGTATTCCATGCTACTTTGAGTCTCCTAGACAACATAGAAAATGTGGTCTGTGACCTACAGTCCTAACCCTGTCACTCCTCTGGGCACTCATGGTTTTTTGAAAAGACCTCTCAAAACATAAATAACTGTATTCTACTTCATTTTTTTAAAGTAAAAGAAATTATAATCACTTTGGTATTTTTATGGAGACAAATTTTCTAAGCTCAAATTGTGCAGTATAGTATATTCAGATATTCATGGAGCATTCTAGTATGTGCTGTCATTATAAGGAGATACAAACATAGCTAGAAGATGTGGTTTTTGGAAGCAAAACTAGATTCTAAAAGACCAGGTCTGCCTTTGGACATGGAAGTTATTTTCCCTGCCATGATTTGAAGGAAAGTTCATATTCCTTTGTCTACCCTTTTTTTCCTTTAAAAAAAAAAAAAGTGAAAGTGTCATCCTCCTCTCCTTCCCAGGTCATAAAATCAGACTGTTTTCATCTCTAAGGTTTTTTGGTCCAGGTACCTAGTAGCTGTTTTGTAAATCAGTAGTGAGAATGTTCTAGTGAGAGAGAAGATTTGCTCATTTCTCAGCAAATCACTTGAACCCATCAGCCCACTAAATTTACTTGATCTGAACTACAGTGGCTCTTATGTCCATGATTCCTCAGCCTCTTTCTGTCTCTGTTCCTCATTCTGTCCACATTCATCTTAGGAGGAGGGAACCTCAAGAAGTGGCTACCCCTAGAAAGCAGAGTCCACAAAACAAGCGGAGTCAGGCCAAGTCCCAGTGTGGTCCAGGTGGAGTGGGGTTGGGAGTGAAGGAGGAGGACCCTGAACTGGGGACACTGTTGCCCATGGTAACATACATGGCACCTCCACAGGAAAATTTAAATGAGTAACAGATCATAGACTTAGTTGAAAAACTTTTAGCAGTTGCCACTTCACTGTAAAATCGGGCCTATATCAGAAATCAAACCCAAGATGTATCTTGCTATCCTCTAGTAGAGGATAAGTTCTGTCAATATTTATTAACTCTCAAAATAGTTCTAGTACCCACAAGTAGAAATATTGGATGTTTTTCCAGCTGGTAATGCCACCACTTTTCTCCCACATATAGATGTTAAGATCTGTAGCATGACTAAACCCCTGGGTTGAGTTGCAGGAGTAGGGAGCGATTCCCTGGAGAAAGTTCAGTGAGGTCGCCCAGCAGGGACAGGGGCTCCCTCTGCCTGCAGCCCAGCTTGCCCTCCCCGTCCACCCGACTCTGAGGGTCTCCAGGCTGCAGACCACCTGCTAGACCTCGTGCCTACCCTTCCGCCCACTTTGGTTAGCCGCATGTATCTGTCTCTCACAACCAGCCTGCCCAGCTTCCAACCTTCTGTTCTTCTAGGCCTCCATCTCTGATTTTGACTTCTTACCCAAATCTTTTGCCTCTCCTCTCACCTTGGTCCTCAGTGTTTTCTATTTAATTCAGATCTCCTCTCAGTTCTGACTCTCCATGGGCGTAGACCCTGACACTCCCTTCCCTCATGCCCCCCAGCCCTGTCCCTGCCTTGTCTGCCTCTCCATGCCCCACTCTCGCTATAAGCAGACATGACCCCTGCAACAAATTTCTGCCTAGCAAGGGATGTCCATGTCCATGACAGATGATGGTCCAGTGTCATGGTTCAGTGTCCGTTGCTTTCACATAGCATTCAGATCAGTAGAATCCAGTGTTGCAAAAATCAGACCTTTGCCTAGAATTTGCCATAATAAAACCCAAATATTTAGATATTAACTGTCATAGGCTCCTAAGAACCACTTTGTCCAACCTTCTCTTTTTATTGAAATGCAAAGAGATTAAGTGTCTTGGCCAAGGTCACATGGTAGAGCCTGGTTCTATAACCCCTAGGGCTCCTTCCACATTCCTACACATGTCTGACAGATATATGTGAATAGCGTTTGCTTAGAGCGGTGTTCCCTAAATTACAGGACACTCACCACGGGTGGTGGTGCACTAAGATGATGTTAGGTGATTCATGAGATTATTTTGAGTGTTACAAGTCCTGGGCTCAAGCAGTCCTCCCACCTCGGCTTCCCAAAGTTTTGGGATTGCAGGTGTGAGCCACCATGCCCAACCCTAAATTGTCCTTTTAAAATAATCTTTAAACGAAAAGAATGAGGCAATGAAAATACAAAGCAAATATCACAGGTAATATGATTTGCAGATGTGGCAAAAATTGGGGAGATGATATGCAACTGAGACTGAGAAAGTCTTGGTTGAAGCCTGCGAATCTGTCACTTCCTAAAGAGACCTCAGGGCAGAACGGGAGCAGCATGCCAGCTCTGGGCAGTGTGCTTCAGGCTTGGTCTTGCTGTTAAAGCTATGCGTCTAGCCTGATAGTCAGAAAAATACACATAAAAAGTGAAGTGTGTCATGCAAATGAGCTTCCAGAGGCTGTAAACTGCAGAAGATTTTAGCAAACTGGGTTTAAGTTTGGAATGTCTGCTGATGCCAAACACCGCTTCCTTTTTCCCTAGTATGAATTCAGTGTGATCTTTGACACAAGCCACCTGTCTGGGGAGGAGGAAGTTCTCAGCTTCATTGTTACTGCTCAGAGGTAAGGGGGGCTTAAACAATTTTTTCAAAGAGAAGAGATTTATGGGACCAGGAAAAGCCATGTTCTGGTGATACTTTGAAGCTCCTCAGGAGCTAAGGAGGAAAAAATGACTACTCAGTGATAAAGCCCCCAACGGCACAGTGGAATTGGATCTCCCTGGAATGTGGTTGTCTAGGACTACTTGTCTGCTGCTGCTTATGTAGCTGCCACTTCAGACTGAACTGGGAGGGACTGGACATCAGGCATTGGAAGTAAAAATTCTACAGTTGAAAAGAGACAGATCCAGAGAGGTGAGGCTCCAGTCCAGAGTTGGTTGTTGCCTTCCTGTTTGGTCGTATGTTTCCCAATCAGACACAGGTCCTCTGTGGGTTGTCAAGTAGCATCTGCTGCTTCTCATGGATGTGCTGCTGCCTCCCATGATGGGGCAAGAGGAGGGCACCTGCAACCTGAGGGCCTGGCCTGTTGGGAGAGGCCCAAAGAGATGCTCCTCAAAAGAGGGCTTGTCCTGGGAGCCAAGTGGACAGAGAAGGAGAGGGACAGTGTGGTGGCAGCGCCTGTCTCCGTGAGTATAAGCTTGCCCCTCTCCAGTGTAGCCTGTGGGTACCTGAGAGGGTCTCTGCGGTGTTATGAGATGCCTTCTCAAGCCGGAATCCACACATAACTTGAAACAACATTTAGGTAGTGCTTAGCTGACAGCTCAGATGGAGGGAGAGGCATTTAGGTGGGTGAGTAGGGAGACACATGCTTTGATTGGGGTGGCGATTGGACACCCAACTCAACCTTTTTATTTAATTTATTTGGAAGTGATTTTCAACTTAACAGAAATGCTGCAAGAATAGTACAAGGAATTCCTATATACCCTTGACCCAGCTTCACCCAATGTGAACATTTTGCCTCACCTGTTTTATCATGCTCTTTCTGTATATAATTTTTTCATAATCATCTGAAAGTAAGTTGCAGAAATCATGCCCCTTGAACCATAAATACTTCAGCATGCATTCCCAAGAACAAGGCTATTCTCTTAAGTAACTACAATATAGTTATCAAATTCAGGAAATTTAACATTGTGACAAAACTGTTATCTAATATGTAACCCATGTTCTGGTTATGCCAATTATCTCACTAATATCTTTGTAACCACTTTTTTTTTTAGCTGATCCACAAGACGTGGTTATTTTCTGTTAGCATTATTTTCAAGATCACGTAATTAGCATTCACATAAAACATGACTGATCTAATAGAAATCTGTGCAACACGTGGAGAGGGGAGACTTCATTCCCATTGCTCAAATTCAGAAGGGCTTCCCTGGGGTGGTGGCATGTAAACAGAGGAGTCTATTTTCAGTCTGAAGCAATAAAGGCACAGCAGTGAGAGTGTCCGTGGTGCAACATGCTCTGTTACACCCATGTAAGTGGTGGGCATTGGAGTGAATTGGGGGTCCATGAGGCTTCTAGAAGAAGGATGGGAGCCCACAAGGGCAGTAGGAGATGGGAATGAAAGAGGAGCTGAACTGTGGGGGACAAAGTAGCCTCAACAAGTCTGAACTACATTCTGATGGAGTGAGGAGCCACTGCAAGTGTTTGCAGAGGGGAGAGGCACAGTGCAGCAGCTTGGCCAAGGGCACGAGACTGTTGTATGTAAAATGGGAGGCAGTTGCCCCCCAAACCTGAAAATTCTCATTCTCTGGCTGTTTTTGGGAGCCACAGAAAACTCACCATTGCTGGTGCTCTCTTGGTCCTTCCATGCCTGGGGCAGTCAATATCCCTAGAAAGACAGCGACATGGAAGAGATTTCCCTTGTCAGGAAGAAACTACCTGCCTCCCAGCCTCATTCAGGGCTAATCAGAGGAGCCAGAGAGGGCAGGAATCCAGCAGCATAGATCGAGATTCATCTGCTAGTATAACATGTCTTCACACCAGCGGCTCTTTGGTTTCGGATGCACGTTGGAATCACCTGGGGAACTTGCAAAACTATGGGTGCCTGGTCTACCCACCAGAGATGCTGACCTAGTTGGTCTGGGGTGAGCCATGGGCCCTGGCATGGCTCTCATGAGCAGCCAAGGCTGAGAACCACAACTTATAATCTCTTACTTTGTGCTGGGCACATTTTCTCTCAGTAAACAATAATTATGTACCTACTGTTCACCAGTTACAGTGCTAAGAGCTGGGCTACAGGACTATGCCAATAACCTAGTAAATTCAAGAACAACCCTAGTAGACCTTAACATTGCATCATAGCATCAAGGGAAGTCTCGTATTTGAGCTCCAGTAATCTAAGAATTTCTAAGGTTAAGGAGACTGCATTATCTTTTAAACTTCAACAGAATATTTCAGGCACTGGCTTCTTTTCAGGCGTTGATGAAAACATGATCTTAACTGCCCCAAAGGGCACCCCAACACTTGACTCCCTTCTGTGACAGAAAGATCCTCAAAGCTCCTTATCTTGAAAGCCGCAGTTAAAATATCAGTCGTTCCTTTCTTCCGTCACCACCCTTTGAAGGTCTCTTGCCTACTTGTAGATTTAGGAGGACATAAAACTGAGACTAAGCAGTTTCCCAAGGGCCCTCTCTCAGCAGCATCAGCCAGGCTTTGCAGACCGCTGGAAAGCATCCCAGCTCATGAGCTTGCGGAGTGATCGGGAATCTTTTGATGTTTGGCTTCTTTATCTCAACTTTTCAACTTAGCTCATTCTGGAGCAGTCACCTGATGACAGATGAGACTGTCGGGTATGAGCCACCAGTGGCTACAGCGATGGACAAATGGCAGGGCTAGACCTGGCAGGATGTGGGGTGGAGAAGGAGTGGGCCAAGATGGTGCCCACAGCAGTGATCCTGAGGCTTGTATCTCCCCCTTGGGAATGGAAGGGCCAGGAGGTTAGGCTGTTGTGGGTACCTGATCCTGCTGCTTCTGCAAACTGGCTGCCCCTGAGGGACTGATGTCACCCCATGTACGGAAGACAGATGAGGAGCCAGGGCAGTGACTCTGGCCCTGTGGGGTCAAATGGCACAGAGCACCATTGTTTCAGAACAATAGGAGAGCGCGGGAGGGATGTGAGGGCTATTTAAGTACTGTTGCCATTCAGCACTTGCTGGGTGGGAGAGGAAGGCAGGGGCCAGGGCTTGGAAGGGACAAAGGGAGGGCACAGAGCAGATGGGAACCCAGATGTTCAGGGAACAGTGTGGTGGGGACTGGTCAGGACAAACCGAGCCCAAACCTCAGCAGGTCTGGGCAACTCTTATGTTCACCCTGAGGGTGAACTTGGCTCTTGGCTGGATCCCCATTCACCCCATGTGGTGGAACCAACCATGAGTACCGGGTTCAGGAGCAAGCACCCAACAGCCATGCCCTTTCCCAAGGCAGTCGCTTCCCTAGAATAGTCATCACAATGTATATTTGAAGTTTAATAAAATAGACAAGGGAAATGAGATCTTTTCTCTCCTTCCTTCTCCTCTTCCTGTTCCTTCTTTTTTCCTTCTCCTTTTTCCCCTCCCCCTCCACCCCCAATCTGGTATCAAGAGCTGGAATTGCAGTGGAAAGAGCCCTGGTCCCACAGAGCTGATTGGAATCTTAGCTCTGTCTGGTTTGCAGTGGGGTCCTGGGCAAGTTACCTAACCTAAGCTGAGCTATTCCTCCCCTGTCAAAGGTGGGTAATCCCTCTCCCTCTGGAGTTACTCTGAGGCCGGTGAGATCATGCTCAGATATGCCTAGCATGGTGCCTGGCACACAGTAGCCATTCAACGTCATCAGCCCTCGTGTGTTCACCTTCCCAAAAGGACTTCATAGGGATCTCCATTCCATGCTTCTCACCCCAAGGGGAATACCTGACATGGACATGCTAGCCAGAGTCTATAGTGAGAGCATCTGTGATGTTTATACTGATGCAGTTGGCCAGGGCCTCTTTCCTGGGCTTGGCTGTCCCTGGATGCTGGTGATCCCTCCATGGGGAAACATAGCCACTGAGGTCCAGCAACCCCCTTAGTGGCCACAGTTCCTTAACTTCACTGTTGCATTATTCATGGAACAAACACTTGTAGAAGTAGCACACTGGCCGGGTGCAGTGGCTCACACCTCTAATCCTAGCACTTTGGAAGGACGAGATAGGAGCATCAATTGAGGCCAGGAATTTGGGACCAACCTGGGCAACATAGCAAGACCTCATCTCTACAAAAAAAAAATTTAAATAAAAATAAAAAAGTAGCACATGTAGCAAATGTCTCACCCATAGCCCCTCACCATAACTCACCTTTCCCATAAATCCATTGGACAGCTTCCAGCACCTGCCACACTATGGATGTATTCTTTGGCCAGAGCCCACTCACCTGTGTGACAGGGCAGGTGCCAGGGAATTCATGCCACCCTCCCCCGCAACCCAGCAGCAGCAGCAGCTCTCAAGAGTCAGTGGATAAAGGCCCAGCTCCCCACATCCTCAGCTGGGAAGACAGACACTACCTCCCAGAGTCCACCTGTGAGACTGAGCCCTGGTATCTCCAGGATAGCATGCCTTAATTGCCCTCTTTTCCTCCCCTGTCCCCATACTCCCCACTGGCGTCCCCTGGGGTCACCTCCTAAGCTACTTGCCCTCACATCTTTGTGTGGAACACAACTAAGACAACAGAGTACCCTCTGTGACTCTGTACAGGGACCAGAAATAGAACCCAGGACAATGAGGTGCCATCCACCTTTGGAGAATGTAGAGGTTCAGCTCTTAGACAGAGCAAAGCAAGCCCACAGGCAGGTGGCTGGCGCTGGCCAGTGCTCATTCCTTGTCCTCTCCTTGTACAGTGGCAACGTGGAACGCACGGAAGCCCTGCATGACAACAGCCTCATGCTGACAGTGCCACTCATGCACGAGGTGGACACTTCCATCACTGGGTGAGTAGCCCGGTCCTGGGTTGCCACAACCCAGGAGTGCCCTCCAGTGGAGCGCAGTGCTTTTCTTGTGTTTGCAGGAACCAGGGCCTCTTCCACCCCCATTCCTCCCAGCGTTGAAAAGCAGGCAGAAGCTTTAGCTGCAGTGACTCACACTCTCTCCCTCCTTGTTTTCTCCTCTGTCCTAGCCACCCACCCATGTGGTAGATAGCATAGCACAAGAAGTTTGATGACAAGTTCAAACCCCATAATTTCTTTGAACATTCTACACACCTTTCCATGCATATATTCCCACCCACCCTCCACTCCTGTAGAATGCCATTATGGTGGCAGTCAGTGTGGTTCCTAGAATTAAAATCTCAGCCAGAAGCTGCTGGGTCAGAGGTTACCGCCAGATGTGTCCACAGCCCTGGCTCACGGGCGGGCCGCCTTTCTGATTAGTTTCACAGTCCACACTGGCTTTGCTCATTTTGTTAATTCCTCCTGCAGAGCCAGAGGCGGCTCTGCCTGGTGTCTGTGATGGTCTGGAATGGGCAAGGAACTGTCGCGATGGCCACACTATCGGTCCAGGTAAAGTCCACGGCCACTCAGTGCTGCTGGCATTGTTGGAAAGCAAGGCTGTGGTCCTGCGGTCTGTGAGGACCCAAAACAACCCGGGTCGGTTTTCAGCCAAAGCCCAGGCCTAGAAAAATGAGAACTCAGTTCCTGCTTCCAGCTTCAGAAAGCAGAGCACATACCTCTTTGATAGTGGAAAAAACATTTGCACAATTAGTTTAGATCAAATGAGAACCCTTTGAACTCACGACCCAGATGCAAACTGAACTTTCCGGAGGTTCATGGTTTCTCATTTTTCAGTTTTCAAGTGCTTCTGGGTTCCAGCCTTGCCTGGAAGTTGGAACACTGACCCCTGGCAGGAGGAGCCATTCCTGCACTCACTCATGCTCTGCCGGGAGCCAGCAGGCGAGTCCTTGGGCATTTCTGCTCTTGGGCTCTTGGCATTTTTTATCATGTTTTGTAGACATGAGGCACTGGTGGAATATCTTTGCAAATTAGCATATTTTTGCCTCTGTTCACAGCTCTATTTTTAACCATTTAGTTTATTTACTTGTCTCATCAGAGGCACGGTGAGAATATACCCAGAACTAAGCCCTGTCCTTGGAGACAAAGAGAAAACACCCTCCACACACACTTGATCTTGTGGTCAGGCCTTGGGAGACTTTGCTGTGAAGTGTTAACAGCTCCTGCTGAAGCCCTCCATTAAACAAAGGAGTCGACCTCTGATTTTTCCAGAAACGTAAAATAGCTTTTGCCATTCGATAATGCTGGGATCTCCCAAAGTTACTAAAATAATGCATTTAAATTGAAAATAGATGAGTTGCTGTCCATTCAGCATTGGTCCCCAAAGTCTTACATCGTTGTGTTTAGGTAAGTAAGTGGCTTCTAGCATCTAGAATTCTGTACTCATCTGGGAGTATCAGTCTGAGCTCTGTCTCCTTTCAGGGAATTGTTCACACAGTCAACATTACAAACTGAGCTTGAATTCTTATCACTTCTTATGTAGCCTCTTTGGAAGCTGAGGGAAGAGGATGTCTTTGAACTGACTCTACTTTCAAATACCTAATTTCTAGTCATCTCAGCAGTCTGACACATTAAGTGTTTTAAATGAATGTGTCATAGAGTGGGGTTAGGATGTCAAACATATAATTCACTTACATTTATTTTTTAAAAGCTTATAATGACCTTCAACTCATAAAATATTTTTCAAATAACAAAAAAGGAAATTTATACTTTAATAATCCAGTTTTTAAAACTCAAAGCTACCATAGCCTTTCTTCTCATTTGAGAAATGTAATCCCACCACATATCTCTAGATGTAGTAATGGATGTGACCTAAGATGAGAGACATTGCTAGAAATGTCTGTTTTGAAAGCATCGTCTGGCCATGTCCATTCATAGGAGAGAGAAGTAACAGTCCTAGAAGGGAAGAATTGGTTGGAAGACACAGCATAACCCTAGGTGCTTGACTGCGGGTTAGGATGATGGATTCATGCTTTCTTCTTTCAGAATAATCTCTCCAACCTCCTTCGTGTATGGAGAGTCTGTGGATGCATCCAACTTCATTCAGATGGATGACCTGGAGTGTCACTTTCAGCCCATCAACGTCACCCTTCAGGTATCCACCCCTGGAGAACACCTCTGTCAATGGGGTCCAATGGAAGGGCCCATGGGACAGCTCTCCTACTGAAAGACGATAAAAGGGCCAGGCTTTTCTGAGGAGAAGCCCTTCCCAGCCTGGTTGGCTGGTGGGGTGTGTGTTATGTGTTTGTGTTATCTGTAACCACACGCAGAATGAATCCCTTCTCTGTCTGGTCCTCTGCCATGCAGGCCCCTCTGCTCTTCAAGACTTGGGAGGATTGCTGCCTGTGCAGAATATAAGCTTTCCCAAGAAGGCCCCTACATGGTTGAGGCCTAGGCCAAGGTCCCAGCCCAAGTGGTCCCATAAGGACCCCTTTTAGTTCTCCATCATTCTCCACCTTCTGGGCAGAATGCCCCCGAGGAGCTACTGTGTCCTTTCCTCCTGGGGTTTTCATGCCAACTCAGCCAGAAGCCCACTCCTCCCACTGGGGAACAACCTTTCAGAGGTTCAGTTTTACAAGACCAAAGCAGTGTGGGCATGTGCAAACCCCCCATGGGAAGAACTATGCTGCTCCCACACTGAGCCAGGGCTGGCTCGCCCCAGGCACATAGGCATGGTTCTCCCAGGTCCACTCAGTACAGACTATGGACATCGTGAAGGATACTGTGCCTTCTCTTAACTGGGAGTTGACAGATTTTTTCTGAAAAGGGCCACAGGGTAAATATTTTAGGCTTTGCAGGCCATATGATCTGTGGCAACTAGTCAACTAGGCTACTGTAGTGTAAAGGCAACCTTAGACAATTCAGAAACAAAACTTTAATTAGTTATGGACACTAAAATTTGAATATCATGTAGTTTCCACATGTCATGAAATGTTACTCTTCTTCTGATTTTTTTTCCCTAAGCATTTAAAGACATAAACCCATTCTCAGCTCACGGTCAGTAGGGCAGCAGGCAATGGGCCAGATTTGGCCTTGGGCTGTAGTCTGCTGACCCCTGTTTTGAAGTATGAGTTCTCAGGGCCGTGCTTTCACCCTGTGAATCTTTGAATGTAAAGCTAGAGGGACCTGAGCATCGTCCAGTTCATATCCCTCAACTGACAAGCACAGGAAATTGACAGATTGGGAGGGTAGGCCCAAGTGAGAAAGGATGAGCTGGGAGAGGTTGGGCTGGGGCTAGGATCCCACGTGTCCCAGCACCCTGCTGTGTGGATGAAGTGAAGGATGCGGAGATGGACCCAACTTGCACATGGCACCAAAATCCACATGTCACAGTTCCCAGAGCCTTTCCTTGCGCCTTATACCCTTCTTCATGAAGAGGATGCGTTCCACTCTGGCACTCACTGCCATGGCTAAGTCAGTATTTTTTTCTTCACCTGTGTCCTCTCCTGGGTGGACTTAGGAGATGACAAATAATGACAGGATGAAAGTCCAGAGAATGCAGCAGTAAAACATTTGTGAGTTCTGGTAAACAATGACCTTCCTCTCTCCAGAGTGTTCTCCCAGCAACAGACCTCCAAAATCATGATAGGTAACACATGTCCCCAGCCTGGAGAGGATGTGCCTCCCGGCCAGCCAAGCCCCAGTTGTCATACCTTGCTCTTGATTTACTGGGGAGAAAGGGAGAGATGGGATGAGAGCTTGCTTTTGAGACCATAGAGTGATCGCTGTGAATAGCTCCTCTGTGTTTCTGAATTACTTCTCAGAGTTTGTTTGTTTTTTGCCTTTGATTTTTGTAATTGGGTAGGAGACAGATAAAGACCAGATGGATTTATTTCATTTTGGTTGTTTTACTCTTTCCTACTCCTTTTGTTTTTGAGGTGTCTTTCAGTGAGAGATATGGTCAAGAAAATTATTTAGAAGGGTTCAAATAACACAGACCATGGAATGAAGAGGGTATGAGTGCTGAATGAAGGCAAGAGAATAGCAGTTAAATGAAAGATACTGAATACTTTTATCACCCACTTAAAAAAAAAAGGGAAAGAAAAATCCAAGGGTATGCAGTTACAATTTATCCTTCCAATTGTTTCCCTGAAGGTGTTTTTGCAGGGAGCTTAAAGTTTGGTATTCAGGCAAATAGCTGTCTTCACATCTGACCTGAAATAGGAGCCAGAACAGAGAACCCCGGGCCTAGGGAATGAGTGATTGGCCTGCCCCTTAGGTAAACTCTTCCCTGACCCATTGCCTGAGGGAGCACACAGCATTCAATCCAGATTGAAAGAGTTAACTGGGTCTAGAAGATTGATAGTGTATGCCACTGAAGAGAAGGAGATTGTTCTGTGTGGCAAAGTCCACCTTTTCCTTGGGAATTATCTGACGACTCATTTATTGGCATAATTGTCATTATCATGGTCATCCTGCAGAAAGGTCACTGACCAGATTGGTGGTGACAATGGCCAGGGAGTACAAATAGTGGGGGAGGAGGGACCAGGAGTATGGAAAAGATCCTTCCATATTTCCCTGTTCCGGCAGCATCATTCCTGAAGAAGATCACAAGACTTTCCATATGAATGGATTTTTTCTGTGACTTTTCAAATTCATTATTCAACAAGCTACATAATTGTTTAAATACTCCATTGCACTTACGGACAGGAGAAAGGCAGAAATACTCTTCGTGAGCCCACTTGTCTATATTTCATCACAGTTTTTTTTGTTTTGTTTTGTTTTGTTTGAGTTGGAATCTCACTCTGTCACCCAGGCTGGAGTGCAGTGGCACACTCACGGCCACCCCAGCGACAACCTGCTGGGTTCAGGCGATCCTTCCACCTCAGTCTTCCAAGTAACCGGAACTACAGGCACGCGCTACCACGCCCGGCTGATTTTTGATTTATCGTAGAGATGAGGTCTCACCAAGTTGCCCAGGCGGTCTCGAACGCACGGACTCAGGCAATCCGCTCACCTCGGCCGAAGTGCTGGGATTACAGACTGGGCCACTGAGCCTGGCCCATCACAGTTTTTTAGGAGACAATACTTTGTTGATCATTGATAGGTCTTTTGGGCATCAAGATTCAAAGCATTTTCTCCCAGAAAAACAATGGGGAAAAGTAATGCAGATGTTACACGTTAACATTTGCAGAGAAGCCAATGTGAAGACATTTGTTAAAAATAAATATGATAATATAAGCTCTCCTGTTTTCCTGGTTCTGATGAGTGAGACTGAAAATCCGAATCCTTATCTTTGGTGCTCACCGCCAGTCATGCTTGAATTGGGAATTCCTAGACATGTCAGGAGGTTTCTTCTCAATTCCATGCTCTCATGTTTCTTTTCTAATTAATTATTTCAGTTGTGGTCAAATACTCCTTCCTTTCTTGTGTCTTAGAGTTGTTTTGGTGAATTTTGTTCTTTTTACAATCAGGAGTTGGTAACCACCACTCATCTACTTCTATCATTTTTAATCTATGTATTCCTTGAAGTGGAAGAAACTATTGATTCACGCCTATAATCTCTTGAGAGGATTGCCTTAACCCAGGGGTTTGAGACCAGCCTGGGCAACATGGCGAGACCTTATCTCTACAATAAATCAAGAAAAATTTGCTGGGCATGGTGGCACGTGCCTGTGGTTCCAGCTACATGGAAGGCTGATGTGGAAGGATTGCCTGAGCCCAGCAGATCAAGGCTGTGGTGGCCGTGAGCTTGCCACTGCTCTCCAGCCTAGGCCACAAAGTGAGACTCTGACTCAAAAAAAAGCAAAGATATGGTTTTCTAAAGAATAGCTGGCTAGAGCTAGATCCTCGAATGTCCTGTCATACATAAAGACCTGGTTAAGTTTCTGGTCCTTTTTTTTTTGGCTCTGCTCTTCTGACCTCAATTTTGGAGATACCTTGAGTCCCTGAATTCTCTCTCTAGTTTCCAGGCCACCAAGCAGCATTTCATTTTTCCCTCTCTCCTACCCATCTCTTTTTTAAAATTCATTTTTAAATTGACAAATACAAATTGTATATATTTTGCTCATCTTGAAAAAAGCAACGTCCTTATTGAGATATTATTGCATACCTTAAAGTTCATTTGCTTAAAGTATAAAACTCAATTATTTTATTATGTTTACAGAATTGTGTGGAACTATCACCATAATCTAATTTTAGGACACTTCCCCAAAATAAAATTTTATACCCATTAGCAGTAACTTCCTATATTAATTTTCCATTGCTGTTACAACAAATTACTACAAAATCGGTGGCTTAAAGAAGCACACATTTATTATCATAAAGTTTTGGAGAACAGAAGTCCAACATGGGTCTCATTGGTCTAAAATCAAGGTTTCAGCAGAACCAAATTCCTTGCTAGAGACTCCAGAGGAGAATTCATGTCTTGCATTTTCCAGCTTTGACAGGATGCTAAATTCTTTGACTCATGGCCCCCTACCATCTTCAAAAGTCAGTCCATAGTCAGTCTAACCTTTCTTAGGATGCTACCTTCCATAGTCAGTCTACCCTTTCTTAGGATGCTACCTTTCTGATTCTGACTCCTCTGCCTCTCTCTCCCCTGTTTGAGGGCCTTATGATTACAATGTGCCTACCTAGATAATCTTAGCTAAGATTAGCAACTTTAATTCCCCCTTGCTATGTGACATAACATTCACAGACTCCGCAGATCAGGAAATGGACATATTAGGAGTTCTCTCATGCTTCCTATTCTTCCTACCCTCCAGCCCTAGGAAACTACTAATCTATTTGCTATCTTTATACATCTGCCCATCTTTTTTATTCCACTTCATATTCCGTTTCTTCCTTGAGTTTCATGTTCAGCCTTTGTTCTGGCTCTTAGCTCTTACTGGTCTCTTTGTGGCTGCCACCTTTTTCCTCATTTCTTAGGAAACGATTGACTTTTGGAGGCATATAATGAAGAGGATGGTAGGGAAGATAGGAGGGGTAAAGTTTTACAGAACCAAATGCTGGGACAGAGGAGAGGTGCACAGATGTCATCAAACCATATTAGCAAGAGATGAGCTATGAATCACCCAGAAACCAAATCTACTAGCTTGTGTAGCAAGAAGAGCCTTTCTGAACATAGATTAGATCACTTGGTTTGGGGATGACCCAACGTAAGGATCTCAGTTATCTCAAACTGTCAAAGAAAGAGGTTGGACCAGCTCACTGGTTCTCAAGGGGAGGTTCCTGGGCCAGCAGCATCCACATCTCCTGGAGACTTGTTAGAATAGCAGATCCAAAGGACTGGGCATGGTGACTCATGCCTGTAATCCCAACACTTTGGGAAGCTGAGATGGGAGGATTGCTTGAGGCTAGGATTTGACACCAGTCTGGGCCACATAGTGAGACCTCCATCTCTACAAAAAAAATTTTTAATTAAAAAAAAAAAAAAAAAAACAAGCCGGGCCAGTGGCTCAGCCTGTAATCCCACGCCTTTGGGAGACTGAGGTGAGTGAATTTCCTGAGCCTGCGGGTTTGAGACCCGCCTGGGCAGCGAGACCTCATCTCTACAGTAAAATAAAAAAATTAGCCTGGCATGGTAGCACGCACCTGTAATTTCAGCTACTTGGAAGGCTGAGGCAGAAGGATTGCCGGAGCCCAGCAGGTCGAGGCTGCGGTGGCCGGGAGCGGCCACTGCACTCCAGTCTGGGCGACACAGTGAGACTCCAACTCAAAAAAAAAAAAAAAGAATTGCAAATCCTCCAGCCCTACCCAAGACCTACTGCGTCAGAAACTCTGAGCATGATACCCCTCACTCAACCCCTCCCCAACAATTTGTGTTTTAGCAAGTCCCTTGTATTATTCTGATACTATACTAAAGTTTGAGAACCACAGGACTAGATTATGTATCTGAGTTCCTACTAAGTGTAATAGTCTGTGAGTAAATTTCAGGTGTATAAAAATAAACATAGTTTTTGGTAAGAAGAAGACAAATGCTAAATGGAATAAGGTAATTTGAAAGTTCGGAATTTTAGAATACATATTAGGATTTCCATTTCATTGAAATTCCCCATCATTCAATATTTTGCTTTACTTCAAGTCATGACCTTTCTAGATCCAAACCCTAGAGTTTCCATGTGTGATTTCAGAGAATCTTAGAGTATGTTGCATGACATCAGATGAAGATCTGTTATTTTCCACTGAAATCTGCTATGTCTGTACTGCACCCACAGGTCTACAACACTGGCCCAAGCACCCTTCCTGGGTCATCTGTCAGTATCTCTTTCCCCAATCTCCTCTCGTCTGGTGGTGCAGAGATGTTTCACGTCCAGGAAATGGTGGTGAGTCCTCCATTTGTTTCACTCTTGTGTTCAGCCTTGAGCCAATCCATTTGAATTTTGTATTCCAACCAACCCAGATGTGCACCCTGAGGTCCCAGAAAATTTAATTCATTCTACCCTTTGGAAATGTATCTGGAGAAGCCAGGGGACCTGTAACACCTGAATTTCTAAATTTCTAAATCGAGACAACTTGAATAATGCCATAAGATGACCTCCTCAGGGTTGGGGAAGAACTGGTTATAAACCCATCTCCTAGGATGGCATTTACTGGCTCTTGGAACCCTTGGCGACTTTCTGCAGTCTTGTATGTGTCAATGAATGCATTTTGCTGAGGAGAAAATTCACAGCATTCATCCAAATTCTCAGAGGGCCACTGATGCCTGAGGATGAAGGATTGCCTGTAAGACATAAGTATCACTTGAAACTCAAGTTTATATGCAGAATATGCAACTTCACCTGAACCTGAGACCACTGTTGATGATTTTGTCTCAAGAGAAGCTTGCCAACTGGTATGTGATTGTTGCTGCCACCTCCTTGAAACATTTTCCTTTGCTCCCAGGACATCACCTTCTCCTGGTTTCACCTTTTTTGCTGCGTCTTCTCATCTCCTTGACTCCTAGAATATCTGGGGCCTCCTTTATTATACAGCCAATCTCCAAGATCTCATGACTTTTTTTTCTTATTTATTTTATTGTATTTTAAAGATGTGGGGTACAATTCAGGATTAGGTATATAAGTGGTCATTGTCCAGGTAAAGTTTGGGCCTCTCTTTGGTCCCCACTTTGCCTGGTTTGAGATCAGGTATCCTTACTAATGTTGTGTATCCCCCACCCCCCACCCTGGCAGTAGCCCACTACTGCCAATCCCTTTCTTATAGTATTAGGGTAAATGTTCAGGGTCCGCTTATGAGTGAGAACATGTGGTACTGGATCTCATGGCTTTAAATCCAGTCTGGGCTGATGACACCAAATGTTTCTCTCCAGCCCAGACTTCTTCCAGGAATTCCAGACTTTGACAGCCAACTATCTTCAGGCCATCTCTATTCGCTTGCCTAACGGGTATTTCAGTCTTCTACAGGACTGCACTCCTGACAGTACCATCCCAAACCCGCTTTTCCCACAACCCCACCTATCTCAGCCAACGGTGACTCCGTCCTTCATTTGCTCAGGTCAGACACCTGAGGACATCCTTGACGCCTCTCTTTCCCCACATACCACATACAATCCATCAGCAAACCTAATACCTCCACCTCCACAACAAATCCAGAATGGTATTACCACTTTCTTTACCACCTCCACTTACTAGCTCCCTGGTCCATGACACCATCATCTGCCACTTGGGTTATTGCACCTGCCCCTGCACAGAGGTACCTGCTGCTTTCCTGCCCCCACGACGGTCTGTTCTTGCAGCAAAGCAATTCTTCCAAAATGTAAGTCAGGTCACGTCACTCCTCTGCTCAAACCTTCCACTGGCTTGTTTTGTTTGTTTGTGTATCTCCTTCCCAGATTTCTCCAGCAGCTCTGCTGCTGGACTCCCAGTTTTTAGCCTGTTGCTCTCTGACCTTATCTCCTCCTCCTTTTTCCCTCTCTTCCTGCTCCAGCCATACCCGCTCCTGGCTAGCCCTAGTGCACACCAGTCACTCTCCCATCTCCAGAATTTTGTGCTTCATCTTTCCTCTGCCTGGAACACCCTTCCTTTAGCCACTCACAGGACCTGCCACCTCACCTCTTTCAGGTGCTTGCTCAAATGTCACCTCACTGAGACCCTCCCTGGCCAGCCTCTGCCCCAGCATGCCTCAACCCCCTTTCTGGTTCACATTTCGCCATCACTCTCATCAGCAGCTGACATCTCTATATGTTCTTATTTGACCAATTTACCTGTGTCTTGCCTGCCCCCTACAATATGAAGACAGTGATTTCTGTCTGTCTGCTCACTGCTGTATCTCCAGGACCTTGGCATATGATATATGCTCAGTAGGCATATGTGGACTGAAAGAATAAATCCACAGTATGAAACAGAATTGTTTGTTCTTTCTGTGTGAATTTGAGAAAGTCTTGTATCAATATAAATCCTGACAGAATCCTTTTGCTCAGCAGTTTGATTTTTGACTACTGGGCAGTGATTGAACACATCTAACTTGTGACCTCGTATCAGAGTGCTCTTGGAGCTACTTGTGGTCTCAGGCTCTTGGGTGACAACATGTAAGGTTGGTGCCTCCTGGTGAACTCCTGGAAGGACTGGGACACAGAATTCAGGAAGGTCACTGCACAGGGAGTCCGTGATGAGAGAGTCATGAAAGCATTATACTTTATGTGGGCATGTGAGGGACATTCAGCCAAAGAGACAGTCTTTACATAGAGAACTTGAAAATCAGGGCATCAGGGCCCGTAGTGTGTGACACAACTGAACCCAGAGTTGAAGAGGATATAACCATAGAGTGGAAGCTCAGAAAATATTGTGGGATGGTGATAATCGTTTCTAGCATTGCTGTCCTCTTGGGTACTGTGGGCACCATGTGAGTGTTGAATGTAGGATAGGCCAGCCCTCCTGAGATGCCTGCTCAGCCATTGACATTGCTCATAATGTTCCATCCATGCTTCATGGCTTACCCTTGTCTGTGGGCTCTGATGACCTGGCAAGAGAAAAGCCCCAGTGTTCTGTACCCACAGTGTACCATGGACTTAGCATGAGATTAACAAGTCATTCATGCTCCTGTCTGCCCTCTTAAATATTATTAACCATATTAGCCATGCCACCTCTTTCCCAACATCTAGGACTGTTCTTCTCACAGAACATGCTTTCTAGGAGTTAGTGGTTTACATGACCATCTACAGTGTTGGAGAGACATTTTTTCTTCATAGGCAAAATTATTTATTGACCAAAATAGGAAAGTTAAGTCACACAGACTCTGAAGGAATCTCAAAGCCAAGTGCACCCCTTTTGCTCTTGACTAATCATTAGGTCAAGGAAGAGCCACTGGGAAGGATTTTGGGGCACAATTATAAATAGCTGGCTTGCATGGAAAGCATTAGAAGTGGTTTTCCTGGGTCGGGAGCAGTGGCTCACACCAGTAATCGCAGCATTTCAAGAGATCGAGGTGGGAGGATTGCTTGAGCCCAGGAGTTCGAGACCAGTTTAGGCAACATAGTAAGACCTCAACTCTACAAAAAATTAGCTGGGTGTGGTGGCATGCGCCTGTAGTCCTAGTTACTTGAAAAGCTGAGAAGGGAGAATCATTTGAGCCCAGGAGTTGGAGACTGCAGTGAGTCATGATGGTGCCACTGCCCTCCATCTAGCCTGAGCAACAGAGTGAGATCCTGACTAGGAAAAAAAAAGTGATTTTCCTAAAGACTTGTAGAATTGCCTATCTAGCTGAGTGACCCTTGAGCACCCCTGTGATGTGAGCTGGCTGCATTCTATTCTTGGAGTTCTCAGAAGCAAACGCTTTGGAGTTTCAAAACTATATTTAGCATTTCCATAAAGTCTGTAACAGAATTCCCTAGGGTGTATAAACCAGCGTACAGTCAAAAGCCTAGGGCATTTTCATAGTAAGGAAAAGTGAATTTTCTGGCAAATCTCACTAAGCAAATAGTAAAGCTCTCTGGTGCTCTTACGAACAATCACCTGGAGACCAGGAGGGCAAAGGGACTAGAAATATAAAAGCAGATGCATGGTGCGCTGTAGTGAAGAGGCAGGAGTACCAGATCCTCACCCTCCTCCTTAAAGCTCAGATGTGAAGCCCGGCTCGGTGGCTCAGTCTGTAATCCCGCGCCTTTGGGAGGCTGAGGTGAGTGGATTGCCTGAGCCCACCCACGGGTTCGAGACCCGCCTGGGCAACTTGGCGAGACCTCATCTCTACAATAAAATCAAAATGAGCCGGGCGTGGTAGCTCGTGCTTGAGTTCCGGCTACTTGGAAGGCTGAGGCGGAAGGATCACCGGAGCCCAGCAGGTCCAGCTGCGGTGGTGGGGAGCAGCTACTGCACTCCAGTCTGGGTGACAAGGTGAGATCCAACTCAAAAAAAAAAAAGCTCGGATCTGGGAGCAAAGGCCTCCTGGGGCTCAGCCCCTCCCTAGCTCATTAGAGGGTAGGTGTGACTCAGAGCTCCTGACAGTAGCCACTTTGACCTTCTGGGCTTTTGAATGGAGCAGGACTTTCATTCTGGGGATTCATGTGGTCTGGTTCAAGTCAAAACTCACTCCTATTAGGCAAAACCAGCACTTATTCTCTTTATTGCACTGAGAGGTGACCCTTTGACCTGGTGGCATTCCCTCCCCTCCACACTCTCAGCCACCACCTTTCCCCACCCACCAACAGGCTACTGAGCAGCTGGTCACCAGCTGGCATGGTAAGCCAAAAGCATGGTAAGCCAAAAGCAGATTACAGGCATAGAAGGTGGGCCCATCTGTCATCCCTCCCCTCTCCTCGTAGAACCCTCAGATTGTTTCTCTCCCTTTAACAGTGCCCTTAGCATCCATATTGCCTGTGGTCATCACCCATGTAGAATGTTGGGGCTGGGCTTACCAGCCTGGTAGGTCCTAGGCCCTGGGTCTGGCACAGTTTCTCAGCCGTTGGTTCAGAATTTATTTAGAAATCACTAGGGCAGCCTCTGGGGTCCCTGGGCAAAACTAACCTGCCTCTGTGTTTCACCAGAGTCTTTTGGGCTTGCCCAAAGAATTTCTGGGGTCCAGCTGTCTGTGAGTGGAGACATGCCTTGCTTATATAGGAGGAGTTTTTATGGGGAACCTAGTGAAGTGTAGCCACTCCATATTCCCAGCCTCGGTTCATAATCTCCTTTCCCTATAGTAAATGCCCTGAGTGCCTTCATTCTGTTTATATTTTATTTAGAAACAGAGCCTTGACGGTGGCCTAAGGAAAGACTACCAATTTCCATCTTCCCACCCACTGGGGTTGTGTGAACTCCTGTGGGGACACACTGACTTCTTATAGCGTACGCGCGCGCGCACACACACACACACACACACACACACACACACACAC